ACTCCTAATTAAATAATTGTGAAACATTTAGGGGGCCTTGTTCTCCAATTGGGCCTGGCCGAATTAGAAACAGTGGAGACCACGATGAATGGGAATAGTTTTGCTAAAACGGTTTTCTTTCCCTTTTTTTAACTCTTACACTATTAAAAAATAATTAAAAGATACTTTTTTTTTATCATTTTTTTATCCAAAACTTCATAGCATTAATAACTAAAGCGGCTGTGATTTTTTCCCTTTTTTTTTTTTTTTTTTAGCCAGAACTTGGCTCTGATATAAACTCCATTTTCTTAAAGAATAGAGAACATGTACATTATTATTTAGAAACGAATATCTAATACGTATATTTTAATATGTTATTTAATATGTTTATTTTATTTTTTAGATTAAAAATATAATTATAATATACACTTGGATATGAAGGCTTATTTAAGTCATAATTAATTAAAAATAAATATCAAATTTTATTAACTAATTATCGAAAAACTATCTTGTAGTCCAAACTATACTAAATTGCAAAATTACAAATCCATTAATTATTATATTTTATTTTATTAAACAAAAAACTAAACCTAATAAAGTTGAACAGATAAAGTATTTAATATGGTACTAAATTAGTAAATACATGTTATATCACACATAATCTTTGAATAAAAGACTCAATTATATTAACATAAAATAATTATAAATTTATTATATTACATAACATTCTAATTATATTATTTTTGACAATTTAAATATAATACTACAATTGTAAATTTTTTTGATTGGAACTATAATCATGAATTAAATGGATAAATGCATATCAGTGTATGTGTGACTTTTAAATAAAAAAAATTAGGCAAAACCCTAACTCCCAAACTTACCCCAATTTTTTTTTATTAAACTCTTGAACTTTTATTAAAGTAAATAAGTTTCTAAACTTGTACTTCGACCTTATGGGCTGATGATTTTATGCCCTATAGCAAGGTGTAGGATTGGGGTTCAAATCCCTCCACCCTCAAGTTATAAACCATTCAAAAAAAAAAAAAAAAGTTCTCTAAAAGTTCTCTAAACTTAGTAATCAAAGCAAATTAACCCTCTTTCTTTTCTTTACAATAGACTTAATACTTGTTTATATCTTACGTAGGTAAGATGTTGACATGTCATTATTTACATGGTAAATATTAACATTGTTCACATAAGTAAGGCACAAATGTGTGTTAAATCCATCATAAAAGAAAGAGTTAATTTATCTAAACCGCTAAATTTAAGAATTTATTTGTTTTGATAAAAGTTTAGGGGTTTAATAAAAAATTTGAAGTTAAGGTAGGGTTTTGCCAAAAAAAATTACTATAGCGATAAAATATGCCGTTATATGGTACAACCCATTGTAGAAAAGCATTACAGAAAACTGTTTTATAAGGCGGACTGCATACAGTCTGCCTATAAAATTAATTAAATGCTTTTGAAAAAATAATATAAAAACAAATTTAAGGGCATTTAAGTAATTTTATAGAATGGACTGCATATAATCCGTCCTGTAAAATAGTTTTTTGAAAGCATTAAGCTAGAAAACAAATTAATTTTATTTCACCTATGTATATTTTTTTAATTAGAAAAAAAAAGCATGTCGGTCAAACAAACACAAGTCATAATTTTTTGATGAGCAAAAGAAAATTTTTTTTATTATAATTGGAATATAAGAGGTACTCCTACCTATTTTAAATAATTTGTACAAGGTAATAGGTCCATGCCACTACCCATTAACCAAATCATCCGTGCAATTTCTACTATTAATGAAATTGTTTTAGACAACTTTTATACCTTTTTACTTCTACTGCATACTCATTTGGTCTTGACAACCACTCTTGAAATGAGAAAACACACTTTCCATCTTATGCTTAATCTATACAAACAATTTAGCCTACACAGCACTTTGCACCTTTTCCTCAAATTTTCCCTCTTTTTTAAACACTATAGTGTTTCTCCAATTCCATATACACCAAGTTATTAGCAAAAAAAAAATACAAGAACCCATTTCTTTTCCTACACTTTTTCCCAGACGAAACAACCATCCCCATCGTTGTATTCGGCAACACCCCCTCTACACCCCACCACCTCAGCACCTTCATCCAAACCAACCATGATTCTCTACATGTACAAAATAAATGGTTGCTCTCCTCCAGTTGCTCCTTACACAAGCCACACACTAGCTCATCCTCTTGCAAAGCCACTCCCCTTTTATGTAAATTGCCTTTTGTAGCAAGATTGTTTAAACAAAATCTCCACCCAAAAAAAATTATTTTTGAAGGGACTAACTTACACCATATAATCTTGCACACTTGTTCCTCTAGAATATTTTCACTAAGAGATAAAACTCATAAACTTTCTTAATTGTATAAACTCTTTCCCCATCATATAACCAGCTCCATCTATCCTCCCTGCCTTCCCTAATGCCCACACTTCCCAACAACTCCCACAACACCTCGTCTTCACCCAACTATTTGCCCATTTGCCACCTCCACCAATCCATCCTCCATCTCCTACAACCTCCCTCCCACTCCCCCATCTCCATACATGTACCTTCCTTATTTACAGCCAACTCAAATAACCTAGGACACATATCCCTTAAGGTTTTATACCCCAACCAATTCTCCCTCCAAAAATGCACCCGCCTTCCATCTCCCACTTCCCACCTAAACCCCTTCACCAACATATCTCTTAAGTTTCTTTGACTTCCTACAAGTACTCATGATATCCTTCCAAATATTATACATATATAATCCCTCTACAGTAGTAATATCTACCTCCCTCTTCCCCCCATAATATTTTTCTCATACGACCAATTTCCATAACCCCTCCACCCCATCTCCTAACATATGCCGCCACTTCCCGAGTAAAACCCAATTTCTTCCACACATAATAGGCACCCAAGATTCCCTTTATCCTTACTATAGCAAATAGGATCCCATTTCACCCAAGAAAATGTTCTTTTAAGCTTTGCCCCACCCCATAAAAAATCTCTTTGAATCGTAATTAATTTAGAAACCACACAATTCAGTAATAAAAATATAAACATAAAAAAAATTAGAAGAGTATAGAGTACCGAATTTGGCAAAGTGATATGACCTTTAAAAGACAATGTAGCATTTTTTCAGGCAGCAAGCTTGACTCAAAATTTATTTACAATTGCCTCTCGCAACTTTTTAGTCTTTGGATGCCCTCCAATAGGCATCCAAGTTATAATAATACATGTCAATATAAAACAAAATTGGTAATGATATATGTACAAAATTTTTTATAATTTTTGCATATAATTTTTATATTTTATTCAAACAGTAAATATATTTGATATCATAAATTTCAATAAAGAGAAAAGAGATATCATTAAAGAATATATAAGACCATATGAAAAAATTGTGTGAAAAAAATTAATTAGTTCTCAATCATTTTTCAAATGAAATAAAGAAAAGGTTAAACCCCCATTTTGGTCCCTCAACTATTGTACAAACCCTCAATTTAGTTCCTCAACTTAAAAAATCCTTAATTTGGTCCTTATTGTTTACTATTTTGACCCCAACTTGACCCCTCTGTTAAAATTCTGCCTATGTGTCCCATTACTTGACAAGGATAAACATGACATGTAAAAATATTTTGATCTACAACGCATTGCTTTTAAAATCGAACTGAAGGTCAAACCGTTTTGACCTTCGGTTCATGGTTTTGATGGTTCGACTGATTTAACCAGTTACAAACTCGGGTTGATTAAATTTTGAAAATATATATTAAATATAATATAATGCAACTTATGTCAAAGAATTAGTTGTGGCTTTAGTGGTGAGAACCCTTAACTATATCGAGGAGAATTAGAGTTTGAGTTCTACGAGTGTCAAATTTATTCAATTTATGTAATTCTATGAGAAATAAATCTTAATGCCCAAGAGGACAACAAAGTTGAATCAGATCAAGTGGCAGGAATCTTATAAAGCATTCAAGAGGGTCAGTGTTCGAACCTCATGGAAGTCATTTTCCCATTAAAATCTTTCTAACATTCTTTAAAAAATATTCTTTGCAAATTTGTTCACAATAGGCGGGGTATCTTGGTGGCAAATGGCTCGATAACCCTCTATGAGGCATGGTGTTCGAAACCTAGAAGAGACAAATTTTGGAGAATTTCCTCTCAATGGTTGGCTCGGTCGGTTGGACAGGTTATTGGTTTTTATCGGTTTGAGTGGTTTTAAGCAGTTCAACCTCCTAAATGGTTTGAAATACTCACCCAAAATGTTTCTACTATTTGGTGTCAATTCGACTGATTCAACCGGTCAATCAAATCTGATTTTTAAAACAGTGCTACAGCATAGCAAAAACAATGACATAACAAAAAAAATTAAAATATTCCTTTTTTTTTTTTTTTTTTTTTTTTTTCTTTCTTCCTTTGTTTTTTCTTTTTCCCTTTCTTCTTCCTCTTCCTTTCCATTCACCTTCTGCAAACCCTAAAACCTTCT